ACATTCATATTGACGCACTAATGAAATCCGCAGTGGCTCAGCTAGGGGAACTGTTTTGCAAAGTTCCTCTTCGACAGTCTTCACGGTGAATGTTTACAAGTCATAATGCATTCAACTTCTCATATAACCTTTCTCTTCATTGTATCCACTGCATACCATTTGTACGTTACATGTGCACATCAAATTAGAAACATCTTGAAGTCACGTAGCCCGGTTTAACTCGACATTGAGTATAACAAAAAATCTGATATATTACTTTAAGCTTCAATCTCTTATAAATGCCAAATTCTTACGTTTAAGCTATATTCAACAACGTTAATTAAACAGAAGCAAGCAAGTAACTAAGAGCTAATGATATAATTGCTGCTGTTAGGATGTTACACTAATGCACTTTAAAGAGACGTTGCCTTGACTCTTCGAACTCTGCTTTGTGCCCAGGTACAAATCTCCAGTAGCAAGAAGTCCACTGGTATGAATAACCGCAACCAGTTCGGCCTTAAAATAGATTCGTTACCTCTCCTAACGGAGGTTTAAAGAGGGCAAGCTAAAGGCTAAAAAGGGAATATGCCGGCGCATACCAACTCTCTGCGAGCAACGAAGATACTGGGTCTAGCAGCGAGATAAATGTATATGTCGTCTACCTAAAGGGCAAGATGACTTGGACCTAAAAATCATATTTTAATATGTGGATAGTTTAGAGTATTCGACTAGAAAAATCAAAGGAAATAAGTTTTTCATTTTCCATCCAGAAAAAACTAATGAATGACTGTTTGAACTTTACATAGAAAATGCTACTAAGAAAATGGTGAAACACAGTAACACCTTCATTACAATAATGCAAAATGCGAGGTTCTTGTACTTTTTATTTCGTTTGAATGATTAATTTGGCCACACCGGAAAACCAAGCAGGATTGCATTGAAGTAGCGCCTCTGTATGAGTTTAAATCAGTCTTAGGCACACCATCCTATTATCGTGATGACTTCGTGCTGAGACTTCGTCTGACATGTGACATAATTCGTCATGTACCAAAATTCATCATAACATTAAATCAAAAGTGAAGGCGGGCTAAGGTTATGCCTACTTTCTTATGACAAATTTTGCGATATTATTGAGGCATCCCATGATTTATTTTTCGTTTGTAGGTAGCCTTTTGAGAATATAATTAATAATTAATTCGAGTTCGGTTAAGCTAATGAAGGAATAGGAGTTGGATTTTCCAAAAGTCCTTACGTTTACATTGAATTTCACCTATACCTGCTTCCCAAAAGGTATTCTTATTCATGGTTGACTACCATTTCGACCTTGCCAAGGTCTCATTAGCTCCCCCAATGGGACTCAAACCATGACAGCGCAGCGTATAATATCGATAGGCTAACTACTACGTGTCTTTGGGTCACAGGGTAGATGTGCATTTTAATTAAGGCCAGACATTTTCCCATATCGCATTCTGTGATGTGATTATGTTTGCCATAGTAATCGACTACATTACTTATTTTTCGTTTGTAAGTTGGCTTTCTAGACCACTAGTAAATTAGATATATGTGATGTTTTAACTCAACCTCGTAATGGAAACGCAAGGTCTATTCACATCATTGTGGGAAAATTCAACTACCAATCCTTCATCACTTTAAACGAAATATGATGAACACATCACATTATCCCATGATTTTTTTTGGCCACAATGATTTTCCGAAACCCAATTTTTATTTATAGCTGCGAAGAACTGGTATATTTCTTGAGGATATGGGATGAAATTATAAGGTCTCCATGTCACCTGTAGACCTCGGAGATGCTCCATTTGTTATTAGAAAGTGTGTGGAATTTCATAAATTATTCCCCTTCGTCTCTGATGATGTCAATTGTCTGACATAGTTAATAGCTAAATCAGTATTTAATCCCAAATATACCAATTCTACCCCTTTCAGACATCAAATAAAGGCCACGGGACAGGAGTACCACAAGAGCCTGGCTCCTCCGGCTCCTCTTCTCCTACAGGCCCTGGCCGTGCGTCAAACTCCTCTCCGGCCGGCTATCCACTAGTCCATCTGCTTAATTTGGAGGCATGTGATCAGGGCCGTGAGCCTCGGCCAAAGTGCACCGTCTTCAAAAACCTGCGCATCCTCATCAGTGACGACTCGCCATCTCTACTCCTCAAAAGTCTGGCCGCCGATCTGGTCTCTGGCAGAAGCCCAGTTGGTGCCTCCGCTGGTGGAGCCTCTTACGGAGATGGTTATCCTCGAGGCCACGAGAGCGTTGATGTAGATGCTCGCAGTGGCAACGGTGGTTTGAACTCAATTCGCTTTGGTACTGAAGATGCTAGGGACGATGGTTTTCTTGGATCTGATGGTGTTGCTAGCTCGTTACGCAGCTCGCCCAGTCGGTCGGTGCACAGCCTCAACGGCATGACCAGAGCTGAGGTTAGCGCTCTCAGCGTTGAACTAGGGAGCCATGGCCAGGCAGGCGGGCTGATGCTGACCAGTGGCGAGTTGAATGTTGTGGGCGGACTGAAGGACAATGAAGTTGTCATCGTCTGCATGGCAATTATCTTCGTCATCCTTTTGATTGCAACAGCAACCCTTGTCTTCCTGATTCGACGCCGTTCATTTTGGACGAGGAGAGGAACTCCACCGAAACGAAGTGGTGCCAGTAAGTTGATACCAAGATTGATCACGGCCTTCAGGGAAAATTGTAAAAGTAATAGAACATTTTTAGAATCCGCATCCATTAAGTATCGAGCAATTGGTATTCTAGTGAAAATGTGATAATCTTCTTCAAGGATTAAGGCTCAGGTTAAACATTTTCGATGTAGGTATTTTTCGAGACTGCCAATAATTCTTGAATGAAAACATTTGTCACTCCTGATTGCTTGAGATGATGCTGAATTTTTCCACAAAACGTTGAATTTCACGTTGCGTCTCGTCAACACCTACCGGATTGGAAGGCGGATCTTGCAGGCAAATTGTCGACAGACTACTCCTCCGTTGCAGCCAGATTTATCTTAATACACATTTACTATGGGACTAGGGTAGAATAGGCAAGTTTGCACTCGCATACTTGCGAAAACTTTAACTATAAGTCCTTATAACGCCATAAGCCACCTAAGTTGAAGCAAGTTCCTCAAGTTGTTTAGTTTGCTTAGGTAGGCACCAGCTACTGAAAAGTAAAAACTATTTGGTTAAAATCTTAAGCTTTTTCTCTTTAGGCCAGATATCTTCCGACAACATACAGATTACACCAATGTTTTTGTGCCCAAATTATTGTCGGCGGACACATTTTAGAGAATGTTGTGGATTATCCTATTTCGTCTAGCAAGGCTATACCGCATGGACAGATATTTTGAGATAAGTGATTTCAATAGAAGTACGTCTACTCTAAATTTCGGATCCAAACAAGATGAGAGTGAACGGGAGCAGGAGCATCTTTCTATTAAAGGGCTATTGGTAAGGGGAGGAGGGAATTGAGAGACTTCATACATGTCACCTTCCTGGTTCATTTTGACATTAAATCAAGCCTAACTATAGGGATGCATTCAGCCTATTTCGTTTAAGGTGATGAAGAACTGGTAGATGAATTTTCCCACAAAGATTTGAATAGAACTTACGATTCTATTAAATTTCACTTATCCTTGTTCCCCAAGAGGTATTCTTATTCAGAGTGGATTGCAATTACGATCTTGCTTAGGTCTCATCAGCACCCCAAACGTGAATAGAACAATGATTTAGCAGCGTACACTCTCGACACGTTATCCACTTCGCCAAATCGCTACGCGTACCTTTGGGCCAAAGGG